CAGGTCCGACTCTGGCTCCCATCTTTCCGACGCCGGTTGTGATTCCGGTCTCATTTGCCCGATTGTGGCGGTATGTGTCGTTCTTTCAATTTCTGATTTTCCCAACGTCGAGTTTGATACACGTCGTTTGCGACGAATAGCGATGAATCCGCCCAGTGAGCGGCAGGCCGTGTCCATTTCCGCTCTCCATTTCTCCGACTGCGGCTCCAGCACCCACCCCCATGTCTCCGACTCTCCGGCTGCCATTCCCCGACCCAGGCTCCCAATGCCCGGGTCCAGCTTTTGAGCGGCCAGCCCATACCTGCGCCACGGCGCCCACCCGCCGCCTTTTTCGTAGGTGCCTTGAGGCGGGCTCTAGTCTCTTGTCCTGTCTTGTCTTGTCTTGTCCAGAAAGAGCTGGTGGGATCTGATTAGTAATTTAGCTTTGAGCTTTCAGGCGACAGACCCCAGATCCAGAAAAGGTCCAGCCCAGCAGCTCCGCAAGATAACCGATTATGATAAAGGGAATGGCTCTCACGAGGCTGCAACTCCGTCTCGGCATGCTGTTGGCGATACGTGGCTCATGTTTAGTCTCAAGTTTCAGCTGGAGCCGTCCCGCAGGCGTCAGCAAGTTTGTAAGACTTCGAGATTTGCCTCCAGAGGCGTCAAACGACACCACCGACGGCAAACGAAATCCCCAAAGTTTCGAAGCTCGACCACGACCACGACCACGACGACGACTGTAGCGGTGGGAAGACGACGACACCGACATTCGGGACGACGGCAACATGCAAAAGCCAACGACGACGACACTTAACGACGACGACATTTGACAACGTTCGACGATGGTTGTCCGAGGCCGCCGCCGTCGTCGCCGCCGTCGTCGTCATCGCCGTCGTCGTCGTCGTCGTCGTCGTCGTCGCCGTCGTCGTCGTCATGGTCGTTGCCGTCGTCGCCGACGTGGTCGACTGCGGCGGCGGCGGCCTCCCCGCGTCCGGGCGGTTCCCGCGCCAGGCCTGTGCCTGCACGCGGCCACCGGGGCCATCTCCGGGCGAGTGCCCGCAGCGTCCCAGGCGCGCCTCGGGCGGCCCCCCGGGCGGCCCATCGGCGGGCGTCGCCGGCGGCCCTCGGCGGCCTGCGATGTCGCCGTCATCGTCGTTGTTCTTCGGTCTTCGGTCGACGTCGTCTTCCGACGTCGTTGTCGTCGTGGTCGTCGTCGTCGGCGTCGGCGTCGGCGTTGTCGCCCGTTGTTAACGTCGTCGTCGTCGTCGTTGTCGTCGTCGTCGTCGTCGTCGTCTGTCGTCGTCCGTCTTCGGCCGTCGCCGTCGGCTCGGTCTTTGGCGGTTGCCGTGCGAGGTCGCGCGGCCGCCGTCGCTCGTCCGCTCGTCGCCGACGTTGTCGCGCGTCCGTCAGTCATCGTCGTCGCGCGTCGTTGTCGTGGTCGTGCGTCGTCGGCGTCGTCGTCCTCGCGCCGTTTTCGTCGTCGTCGTAAGCCGTCGGATTATCTAGAGTTCTCGTCGTCGTCGTCGTCGCCGTCATCGGTCGTCACCAGTCATCGTCGTCGTCGCCGTCATCGGTCGTCACCGAACATCGTTGGTCTTCTTTAACGTCGTCGTCGTCGTCGTCGCCGTCCGTCGATAACGTCGTCGTCGTCGTCGCCGCCGCCGCCTCTGCCGCCGCCGCCGCTGGTCGTCGTCGGTCGTTGTCGGTCGTCGTCGGTCGTCGTGCGTCGTTTGCGCCTATCGGCGCCGCCCTGAGGTGGGCGGCTGCCGGCACGTCGTCACGGCGGCGAACGAGGCGGGTTTCTGCGAGTGCGAGGCCCGGCCGCCCCCCCTCTCGCCGCGGGGCGCCGCCCTCGCGCGGGCCCCCGCGGAGGCCCTGCCGAGGCCTCCGCGGAGGCCCTTTGGGGCCCTCCGGACGCGCCCGTCGAGTCGGCCGAACGGCGGGGGCACCACCGCGGTGCGGTGCCCGCACCCCAGACCCGCTCGAGCAATGAAAAAATCACGACGGGAGGTTTTCCTCATTTTCGGCCTCCGGGGGCCCTCACCGGGCCTCGGGAGCGTCAAAAAACGACTCAGGATGCAAAGCCGGTCATAGGGAAAGGGTCGGGACCTCTGGGGGCCGACGTAATGAAACAATCATTACGTCGGGGGTCTGGGACCCCTCCGTGTGGTGAAGCAGCGGAGGCTCGAGGTGGCCGCGCGGCTCCGGGACCGGGGTCGCTCTGCGAGGCTGTCGCGGGCAGCCGGGGCCTCCGGGGTCCAAGACGGGGCCGCGGCGGAGTGTGTCGGAAGCCGGGCAAGGGCTGCTAAGTCCGTGGCTGCTAAAGTCGACCTTCGGGAAATTGTCTCCGTCCTTCCGGGAAGAAGCCCGTTGACTGTTTCGCGTGCCGGGCCTCATTCCGGGAAGTTGTTTTTTCCTTCCGGGAGGGCCGTTTTAGCAGCCACGGTTTTAGCAGCCCTCGCCCAGCTTTCGAGTGTGCGGCGAGGGCTTTCTGGGAATTCCGGGGCCACCGCACGGTCTGACACCGCGGGGTGGGGCAGGGAGGCGCGAGTTCCGCTGAAAGCAGCCGGTTTCGGCCCCGCCGCCAGGCCCTTTTCCCGATTCAACGGCCGCTTCCAGCGCCAGGAGTTGTGGGAGAAGCCAGCTGCAAGCAGCTGGGTCGACCCCCCCTTCGCTGTGCCTGTGTTTCGTCTTCCCCGAGCCTCAGCAGACAGACTTGAGGGACCTTGTGACTTTGCGTGGACTTAATGCAACAGCAAGGAGCGTTGATGCAACGAACAAATGATGCAGAATGCCGACTTAGGAAAAGCGCAAACGAATTTTGGCCTGGCTGGAACAGCAAGAACATGATGGGCAGCGAGACGCGAAAAGAGGACAGCGCCCTAAGACCTTAGAGTATGTGCCCGCCAGGCCGAAGACAGCAGCTAAGCCTGCTGTTACCTGGGTGCCCCCCGATACCTTAGGATAAACCCACAATCCCCTCAGTTTATCCAGGCAAGCTGTATCGATATGAAAAAGTGCAATGCGAAAACAGGCAACGTACAAAGGCCAATCTGAGAGTATGTGCAAGAGAGAAATCGTAAAACTCGGTTTAAGGTTGGCACAGACTGTGCTGGCTGGCAGGTTGGCCTGCGTTACTAAATGAGAGCGTCTAGCGAAGCGTAGACGAGTGGGAATAGGTTGTGCGTTGCGAGGCAGAGTGAACAGAGTACAATAGCGATGTGATGAAACTCAATACCCCAAGCCCCACCTGTCAACCCAATCATGACGTACAGCTCACAAGTCAAGATGGCAACGAAGCAAGCTAGAGGATCAAAGAACACGTGGCGCAGGCGGTGCTTAATTGAAATCTGAGGATAGAGGAGGTGGCGCTGGAGAAACTGATAAGTAGCACAGTAAAGCGATGATGATGCCTCCACTGTTAGAAGACAGGGAGCTGTCAGGCAAGATGGGGCCGCACCCTGGATCAAGGGGGGCCTGAAAACAAGAAAGTGTCTAATCTGCATGTACAGAGGATTTCCGCTCTCCCCGCCTCCGAAGCACGTCCCCAACCCGACCTCGACCACATCCAAGTAACAGTATAGGCTGGAATGTTGTCCTCGTGCTTTTGCTGGGCTTGCTTCCAGGTCGCTGCCGCAACCCTTGTGCAAGTTGAGTAATCGTCTTTGAATTGGCGGATGTCTTTCAGCTTCTGGCTTTAGGTCCAGTATGTTGCTTTTCATGCCTGCCAGATCGCGATGTAGTTGGCCTGCTTCTTGTCCTGCGTGTTCCATCGTCGGGATTTGTGAAGCGTGTCTCGGGTGTATTGTATGCTCCTACTTCGAGTTGAGCGGTTCCAGGCCTGTCTATGTGTGCGACGCCGTTATGGCACGATTATGGTATGCTGTCGGTCAGAGACTGGTAGTACTCTCGTGTGGTTCTATGTTGTGCGGTCTGGGTTGCTGCCGAGACTAGGTTACTGTACAGAGTCGTTTTTTTGTTGATTTGGTTGGTGCGTGTGTTGGTTTCGGCCTTGGCGTGGTATGCCTGTGCTGTCTTGGGGTGTGTGGCTGCTGTGTCCAGTGCGGTGAGGTCGGTGCTGCTTGGCAGTATGTGTCGCATGTGGTTGCTGGTATTGTTGTTGCGCTGCGTAGGTCGGAAACTGTTGTGCTGGATGGGCGCATACACGGTCCCCGACAGGGTGCGAAGCTTGTCCTTTGCCTTTGCTGAGTTGTTGTCTCTGTTGGTGATTCCCTTTGCATCTTCCTTTGGCCCGAGGAGCGTGGGTGTGGCCATACACTGTGTCAGCTGTTGTGCGCTGTGATGCTGGTTGGGTAGAAGCTGTGCTGCTTGGAGCTGCTGGTTGGGTGGTTGGTCGAGTAGGGTTCGCGCTGAGGCTTCCCGTAGTAGTGTGCGTGCCGCTGATCGCTTTTCTCTCTCCCTGCGGTGCCAGGCAGGGCTGAGATAAGTCGACGGAGTCGTGGTGCTACTGCTTGCAACATGTTGTAACCGCTAGGCCACAATGGCCACGTAAGTGGTGCTAGTTGTGTGGGCGTACGAGGTAGATGTCGTAGCCGTGGTGGTGCGTGCTGCCGTACGTGGTAGTACAGGGTGGTACAGCGTAGCGCTAGGATCAGAGGAAGAAGTCAAGATGCAGTAGGTGTGAAGGATAAGAGGGTATCTGTTACAGAGATAGTGGAGGTATGTAAAAGGAGGTATACGCGCTTGACATTTAGTTATTTCGATCGTGTCTGGCCCCCCTCGGGCTGGTGCGCTGCCACGGGCATCTGGGCTCGAGGCTACTTCAGGGGCCTTCTCGTCCTCTTCCTTCATGTCCCCTCTCGGCGCTGTGTGTAGGGCATACCGTTGGCCGTTCGGGCCGCGGGTGATATCCATAACGTGCATGCAGAGCAATTGCATTGCCGATTTAATGGCCAGGTCACGGTTCATAGCACGAGTTTGCCTATCGCAAATCGGTTGGTGCGGCTGTTCCCAGATTGCGCAGCGATTTTTTGCATGAAGATGTGGCATGGTCACCAGTGATGTGTTATGAGGGGAAGAATCGGCCACGCGCAGAGGGGGACAGGAGTAGTGGGTAAGGCTTCTTAGCAGGAGGCTGCTTCTTAGAAGGCTCGGGTCTTATCTGTAGATGTAGGGCCGGCACCTTCAAAGGGGCTGCCTCCTTCTAAGAAGCCTTCCCCCCTCCCCCTGCCCCCCCCTTCGGCGCGCCGCCAAGAAACAGACTGAAGGGACCAGCGGAGGCCTCCAGGAGAGAGGAGGGATGAGGATCGTGCGCGCCAGAGCGCGTGCGGAGGAGGAGGGATGCGGGTGCGGGCAGGATCGTCTCTCCTCCTCCTCCCTCCCTCCCTGCCTCCCTCCCTTCTCCTTCTCCTCCTCCCCTCCTCCTTCCTCCCTCCCTCCCTTCCTCCTCTCCTCCTCCCTCGTGCTCCTCCCTCCGTCCTCTTGCCTCCCTCCTCCCCCTCCTCCTCCTCCTCCTCCTGGCGCGTCGAGGTTCTCTCCTCCCTGGTGTGCTGTGGTAAGGGGTTCGGCTACGTCACCTGTAGCGCTTATAGAATCCCATAGAATCCCTCCTCCGTCCTCCCTCTTCCCTCCTCCCTCCCTCCTTCCTCCTTCTCCTCCCTTCCTTTGTCCCTTCTTCCGTCCCTCCCTCCCCTCCTCTTCCTCCTGGCGTTGGGGCGGCCTGTGATATCGAGTGCAGCTGTCGGTGTGGACCGAGGGCAGCCCTCGAGGTCCAGGTTGGCCGTGACGGCGGGGCCCAGCAGTTTGCCGGGACAGCCTCGACCGTGCACGGGTCGAGAACGACCTGGTCGACCAGTGGCCGACTAGCGTCGACACGAGACGGCTGCGCAACGTCTGCCGAGAGCTACCGCTGGCCCGAACGTCCTGTTGGGAGAGACTCCCAGCGAGTCTCATGAGCGTGGGATGAATTGCTCAAGACCTGGAGTGTACCCCTCACCTTCCCCCCAGCCCCGGTTGCAGTGATCAGATCCCGTGCTGACCCGCGTGAATGCCCCTACCCGCTCGTCGCCGCTCACTGCGAATGCCTGTGCGGGTAGTCCCCCCCTCATCCCTGTTCCCCCTCCTGCCTTGCGCGAGCCCTCCGTGCCGAGCCGCCCTAACCCCTGCCCGTCTCCGCAGCCTTCTCCCCCAAACGACCCAGGCAGGCTTCCAGCACGAAGGTTTTTGGCACAACTCAGAGCACTCGAATGGCGGTCCGCTAGCGCTCGCTCGCTCGCATCCCTATGCGGCCACGCAGGCAGTAGGCAGGGTCCCTAAAACCCCTTCTTGGGGCGCGCTTGTCACGAAGTCTTCGGTTGTAGGGGCCGATCCTAGTGCGCGACTCGTGCAGCGAACTCAGACACACCAGAGGGTTCATTCGTTCGTTCCTGCTCCTCCTCTCTCCCTCCCTCCCTCCCCTCCCCATCCCCTCTCCTCCCTCCCTCCTCCTCCTCCTCCCCCTCCTCCTCCTCCTCCTCCTCCTCCTCCTCCTCCTCCTCCTCCTCCTCCTCCTCCCTCTCCTCCTCCTCCTCCTCCTCCTCCTCCTCCTCCTCCTCCTCCTCCTGCTCCTTCTCCTCGGTTCGGTCCAGTTAGGTTCCGACGTGCCTTGTGTCCGGTTCGGCTCGGTGTTGTCATTTTTCTGGTTTGGTTCGGGTTGGTGCGACGTCATGAATTGCGCCGTCCGGGTTGTCCTGGTTCGGCATATTTGTTTTGTTCTTGGTTCGGTCTCGGATGTGGCGAGCGCGGCCAGCCAGATGGTCTTTTGGCGAGCTTGCTCAGCCAGATGGCTGGCGCGAGGTGCCTCCCCGCCTCCCTCCCTCCTCGCCGTCATCGTCGTCGTCGTTGCCGTCGTCGTCGTCGTTGTCAACGTCGTCGTTTTCGTCGGCGTCGGCGCCGGCATCGGCGTCGGCGTCGGCGGCGTCGTCCTCGTCGTCCTCATCGTCCTCGTCGTCCTCGTCGTCCTCGTCGTCGTCGTCGAGGAGGTTCGGGGATGGTGTCTCCAAAATTCTCAGCATCCCAGGGGGTGGCAGCGGGGGATGGCACCAGGGAGTGGCACCTGGGGGTGCCACCAGGGTGGCACAGGGGGGTGTGGCACCCAGGGGTGTGGCGTGGCTCCCGGGGGTGGCTGCCCCACCCCCCTTTGTGCTGGCCCCCCCCGAGTGCCGGCACCAGTGGCCCGACGGTACTGGGGGCTCGCTGTGGTTCGGTCTGGTTCGGTCGAGTTCCCGGTTCAGAAACCCGGTTCGGTCCAGTACGGAGGCAGACTCGAATCCAGTTCGATTCGGTTAGGTTCGAGCGTTGAAAACAATTGGTTTGGTTCGATTCGGGTCGTTTCAAAAAAGACTGGCTCACGCCGGTTCGGTTCGGCCTGGTTTGGTTCGGTTGCGGCCTGTCTCCAAGCGTCCCCGGGCGCTCCCAGAGGGCCAGAACGGGCCAGAAGCGCGCAGAATTCCCCGCTCTCTCGACCTTCCTTGACCAAAATTGAAGACCTCGATTCATCAAGCATAATGCGTATTACAAGCCCTAGCCCTGATACCACAATGAATTCGTTGCCTCACTCAGGTCCACGGTTTTTAGGGATATCCCGAACATCTGGGTGGCTTGGTGTGATACTTCTGCATTAAAAAAGACCCTTTACCCCTAATGCTTTTTTGGCCCTTCAAACCTAGACCCCGACGTTGTTTTTTGTTCACAACGTCGAGCCCCAGGTTTTTCATCCTGAGTCGTTGTTTGACGGTCCCGAGGCCTGGTGAGGGCCCCCAGAGGCCGAACATAGCGAAAAGTCTCCCGTCGTGTTTTCACAGCGCGAGGGGGTCTGGGAACTTAGGTCTCCTCCCAAAGGATTAGGGGTACTTTTACTTCGCTGGCAAATGATGGGACCCTTTATGCCGTCTTAATTCCGTCTTTAGCGTAGATTAGCGTCTCGGAGTCGTGAAATGGCGCCGATTTATCGCGGCGGTCAGCGTCTACTAGCGTCGATTGAGAGTCGATTAGCGTCGATTCAGCCTCCACTGGAGCCGACAAGATGGTATGGTATGGGAGGCTCCCATGAGCTGCCACCGAATTTTACGGCTCATCGTCGGAGACTTGTTCTGTAGGGTCCCGCGATAACCTGGGTGATCGCGCTTCCCCCCCCCTCCCCCCCCAGGATAAGCTAACCTTGCTGCTTCTGCAGGTCCAGGGTTTGGGGGCGCGGGCATACGCAGGGCTGCCCACAGCGCGAAGGTTAGGTCATCGGCCGGCCCCCTCCTCCCCCCCTCCCGGATAACCCGGGTTCTTGCCGATTCAAGGAACAAATTGTCCTTGGTCATCTTCGATCTTCGAGAGGCGCGAGGGCCAGCCCTCCTCGGCCCTCGAGCGCCCTCGCTCCTCGAGGGCAGCAGCGCGCAGTCGTGCCGGGCGGGCACGGGGGCTCCACGAGCCCGCGCGGCCGAGGGACGGCAGGAGGAGGAAGAGGTCGTCATAGGAGGAGAGGATGCCCATACCGCTACCCTCGCCCAATTTTCGCCCCTTTTGGGCCTCCTCGGATGTCCTCGTCGCCACCGTTGCATTCGCCTCGAAATTCTGGTCAGAACGCACCCCAGGAGAGGTCCAGAGAGCAGCGGTGTTGGTATCTTTGGGCTCCCCAGAACAAATTGCAGAAGGATGGTATAGGAGGGGGAGGAGGTGGAGGAGGAGGAGGGGGAGGAGGAGAAGGGGGAGGAGGAGGAAGGGGCACTCGAGGAGGAAACAGTTGCATAAAAATATGCGATCGGCGCTCCGCGCGGATTTCTCGGATTTGCGCTGGACCCCTCTGGCGGCGCCTCCGGCGCCGCCCCTGGCGCGCTCCGCGCACCAGGGGAAGTGAGCCCAGACCAGGGTCAAGAAACTTGCGCAGACCGTCGAGAGAATATGCTTATGCTGTGTTTGTGTTTTTTGCGGCTCCTCTTCCTGGAGACGGTCCGCGGCGGACCGAGGTCGAGGAGAAAGGCACGAGCCAGGAGGAGCCACGACGTCGGAGGCCCGGGGATCCTCGAAGTCCTGAGATCGGGGACGCACCGACCCGGGTCAGTGCAAACCTGGGTCAGTCAGGCTTGCAGGACCCTGCACGATCTTGCAGGATCCTGCAAGATTCTGCAGGACCCTGCAGGATCCTGCGCGCTAGCCTGGGTCAGTGCACCTCTGGCTCTGCAGGATCCTGCAAGATCTGGTACTCTGGCTGACTCCCGTTTGCATTGACCCCGTCTCAAGGATCCCGATGAGGTCTGGTGCCGCGAACAAGTGCAACACCATTCGCCATGACAGAACCAGGTCCTAAGAGAAACGGGTCGAGTTGTTTTTTTCCAATCAGGGCTTGCCTCTGTAGGGGTCCTAGCGGATTCATTAGGTTAGGTTTGCCGCCGATTTTCGCCGCACGCCCGGGTGTCCGGGTGCCCGGGGGTGCCCGGGGCCCAGGTGCCGGGGGGGGGCGCGGGGGCCCCGGGGCCCGGGTGTCTGGGTGCCCAGGTGCCCGGGGGTGCCCTATAGCCCTAAGCCCTATAGCCCTATAGCCCACAACTCTATAGCCCTATAGCTCTATGGCCCTATAGCTCAATAGCCTTATAACCCTATAGACCCCTAGCCCTATAGCCCTGATTGGGTTTTTTCTCCAGTATCATTTCCTTTATTTTTCGGTCTCTCCGGGCCCTCGACGGGCCCCAGGGCCGTCAGACATCGATTCAGGATGAAGAGCTCGTCCTGGGGGAAGGCCCTGGGGTCAGGACCCGTTTCCCTCAGGACCCGCTTCCGTCATGTCAAACCATGAGCAATCGTGACGGCAGCTCTCGTCCTCCATTTGACTTTGCGGCACCCTTCGAGCCGGATCGACCCGACGTGAGCCCCCCGTTCCCAGAGCATTTGGCAAAGTCGCCCAGAGTGAAAGAGAAATTCGCAGCGCCCGACGCACAGTCGAGTTCGATTAGTAGGTCGGCCGTTCCAAATCCAGGGTACCTTTGCGATCCATGCTCTTACGTCCCACGTCCTCTGCGTTCTTGTGGCACTGGGGCTTAAAACATGTCTTGTGTCCTCTGCGTGTCGTCTCAAATCGATCTCGACTGCAGGAGGTTCCCCGAATACCGACGTCGTATTTGTTTCGCAACTTGGACCTCCACAGATCTGGACCCCTTTTCAGGGACCGTTTTTATCCACTGCCATTTTTCAGCGGTGCCATGGGGCCTGGTGAGGGCTCCCAGAGGTCGAAAGTTTATCCAAATTTCTCGGTGTGATTTTTCTACGACGAGAGGCCCTCGGTCCCCCCCACCCGCAGTATCAATCCCTATCCCCACCCCCACCCCCATCAGACCCACACCATCCCACCACTGCCACCACCCCAGTTGGGACTATGCTACCAGAAACCCAAGAAGAAACGGCCTATATCCCAATCTAGGGGGTAAATCGGCCAGTGGGGCCCAGGCTAATTACGCCGTTGGGCACAGGGGTCGGATAAACGATTGCCACCTACACGCACACAATCTGATCGTGCCGCTTCCCCAGCTCCCGCCGCCGCAGCCGTCCGCCTGCGGGAAGCCCCACCGCCGTGCCAGCCCAGCACTCTTGTTGGCGGCTGTCCGAGGAGCACAAAGGAAACTGTGCAGTCAACCCGCATAGTAAGGATGAGCATATTTCCGAGGCTGCCCTTGCATCCTTCCCCTTCGGCCCCTCCTTGGCCACCTTCGTTGGCCGCGTCCGCTCGCAAGGTGTCGGCATGGCCTTCCAAAGCCTTTGCATCCTTGTCGTGCGTCCTTCTTTTACCGGTGGACTCTACACAGACAGGCAGCTCCCGGGGGTGATAATGGGGGGTGAAGAAAGGGCCCGAAAGGGGCCCGTTGGTGCCTCCTGCAGGCCCTGCTGGCTTCCGAAGAGGCCCCAACGGGCCCCTTTGGGTATCGTGCGTCCTTCTTGTACGGGTGGGCTGTGACGTGGGACGCCTGGCCCCCCTGCTGGGCGGGCGGGCGGCGAGAGGTCACCTTCTGCGTCGGCGCGGCGCCGCCGCGCGGCCGGCAGCAGGAGCCGCCAAAGGGGGCGGGGGGCCGTGCCCTCTGCGGCCTCCCCGCGGCCCCGCGGCCGCTCGGCCGGCCGTCTTCGGCGGCTCGGCCGGCCGCCCTCGGCGTCGACGCGGCGGCGTCGCCGAGGTCGTCGGCGCCGGCGGTCGTCGTCCGTCGGCGTGGTCGGTTGTCGGGAAGTGTCCTCGTTTTCGGCGTCGTTGTCGTCGTCGTCCGACAACGTCGTCGTCGACGTCGTCCGACGTCGTCGTCGTCGTCGTCGTCGTCATCGAGGTCGTTCTCGTCGTCGTCCTCGTCGTTGTCATCGTCATCGTCGTCGTCGTCGTCGTTTGACGTCGTCGTCGTTTGACGTCGTCGTCGTCGTCGTCGTCGTCGTCGTCGTCGTCGTCGTCGGTCGTAGTAGGCGCTGTCGCCAGACCCTGCGCTTCTGTGCAGTGCGCGCCGGCTGGTGGGCGCTTGTGAGCTGGCCCCCTGGGCTCCTGACCCGTGCCCGAGGCCCCTGCCCTCCGCGTGAGGGCGTGCCAGAAGAGGCACTGTCTTCGGGGGAGCCCTCTTGCGGCCGCGTTCGTCGTCCGCCGAGGCCCTCCGCAGAAGATAGACTTGGCATCGCTCGAACGTGTGCATTTTGCCTTCGGTCAGGACCATCGAGCAGACAAATACGCGCGAAACCGAAAGATGCACGGGGAGTGGACGTCCGAGCGACAGGCAAGTAGAGGGGCGGCAGGAGTACGACAAGTGGGGAGCAGCAGACAGGAGGGGGCAGGACACAGTCATGGCGCTACCATAAGGAACACTCCGTAAGGAACGAAGGGGCTTCTCGGGCCAACGACAAGCCTCGGCTACGAACAGGAAATCGACGTGGAAGATGGCGCAGTCCTGGCCGGTGGGAACGCTCGCGCCTCTCCTCTCGCCTCGCTGTGCGCTGCCCTCAAGGCGCACGCGTCTCTGGGGGGCATCCCGACTCATAGTGCGGTCTCTGTCCCCCAGGGGGTGGGTATAGCAGACCGGCCCTGTGGAACACCCATCCCTCTCACAGTCCGCGCGTGCCCTTCGGTACGGCAGCTCCAGGCGAAGCGCCCGGCCCGCCCTGACGACACGTCTGGTGCGCGGCAGGGGTGAGGGGTTGCGGGCGTCGAGCCGAACGGCCGAACGGTGGCGTCCGCTCGGGCTCGAGCGGCCGCCCGGGGTGGACATCTGGAAATCTGGAGGGGGACAGTGAGGATGAGGGGAGGAAACGGGATGGAGGAGGACGACGATGTGAGAGTGGTGATGATGATGGTGATGATGAGGGTGGTGATGATGAAGATGAGGATGATGATGCTGACGGGGATGATGTTGAGGAATGTGGTGACGAAGAAGAAACACGACGAAACATACGAATCAGATGATGATGACGTCTATGACGCTGATGATGATGACAATGACGATGACGATGCTGATGATGCTGATTATGATGATGCTAATCAGCATGAGGATGATGGTGGTGATACTGATAGCGATGGTGGTGGTGATGATGCTGCTGCTGATGATGAGGATGGTGGTGGTGGTGATGGCAATGGAGATTGTGATTGTGTTGGTAGTGGCGATGATGCTGCTGATGATCATGATGCTGATGATGATGCTGATGCTGCTGATGATGCCGATGCTGCTGATGATGGCGACGATGGTGATGATGACGATGAGGATGGTGCTGCTGATGGTGATGATGCTGATAATGATGATGAGGATGCTGATGATGATGATGCTGATGATGATGCTCATGATGATAATGATGATGATGAGCGAAGAGGACGAGGAAGATGAAGAGGACGGAGGCGAGTAGGAACAGGAGGGAGAGGAGGAAGCGGGGAGGGAGGAAGAGGAGGAGGGAGCGGATGATGAGGAGGATGAGGAGGATAATGAGAAGGAGCAGGATGCATACAAGCATGATGGTGATGATGATGATGATGATGATGATGATGAGGAGGAGGAGGAGGAGGAGGAGGAGGAGGAGGGTGAGGACAATAAGGCGGAGGAGGAGAAGGAGAAGGATGATGATGAGAAAGAGGGGGAGGAAGAGGAGGAGGAGGAGGAAGACTAGGTGGAAGAGGAGAGGAGGAACACGAGAAAGAGGAGTGGACAAGGTGGAGAAGGAGGAGGAGGAAGAGGTGAAGGAGGAAGAGGAGGAGGAGGAACATGATGACGAAGAAGAGGATAATGAATGAGGAGGAGTGGAAGAGGAGGAGGAGGAGGCAGAGGCGGAGGCGGAGGCGGAGGCGGAGGAGGAGGAGGAGGAACATGAGCAGGAGGAGGAGGAGGAGAAGGAATACGAGGAGAATGAGGAGGGGAGGAGGAGAAGGGTGGAAGGACAGGAAGAGGAGGGGGAGGAGGAGGAAGAGGAGAAAACGGAAGAGGAGGAGGAGGAAGAGGCGGAGGAAAACGGAAAGCCCTGTCGTACGCATTGTGCCACATTAGCCTGTGCTGCATCTACTGCCAGTTGAGACAGGAACGCTTTTCAGGCCAACCTACGCGTACTTGACCACCGAGGGTTCGAGCGCAATCCGAGAAGAATTTCCCAACAAGCACGGAGGTCCTGGGACCAAGACGAAGGTTTGGGGTGAACCGCAACATTTTGGGCGACGACCCAAGAGCCGTATCGTTGGCACATTTGCCTTTATATCGATATTATCACCTCCCCTTGATCGATCTGTTCCCCTAACTCCATCACGGTGAATCGCACAGCCAACGTTTGTATGTTTTGTTGCAACCTGTTTGTTGTTCCAACAGACGGTACTTGTATTGACAGCCGAGAAGTGCATACAGTCCTGCTTGTTTGCTCCACAACCGTGGACACGTGAGCAATCCGCCCACGCGCCAGTTGTGGAGCATACGCTGCATACCGTCCCTGGCAGCACCCTTTACTGTACCTGGCTTCATTCCTCAGCATGGCTATACAGCCTATGCAACATCATGGGCTTGGGGAATTTGGTTACATCTTTTACCATTGGGGGTCTTGAAGGGAAGGCGGTACCAGGCTTGGTGTCAACCTTAAACCATGGACTGCAACCCTAGAGCTACAGTTTTGCCAGTCCGCACCTTAACTTGCCGAGGCGACACTCACCATTACAAGGTCTTCTCGTGATCCTACTGGAGTGTGTGTCGCCACACCTGGCGGCCGCCTACTCTGACTAATAATCTTCTCCAGTGCTCGTCCTACCATATTTTCTGCGGCGCCCTCCAGGTGTCCCTGACCCGAGTCGTTTTCTCCACGCTCAGGTTGGCCGAATGAAAAAAGGAGGAGGAAGAGGAGGATGAGGAGGAGGACGAGAAGGAGGATGAGGAGGATGAGGAGGAAGGGGAGGAGGAGTAGGAGGAGAAGGAGGAGGAGGAGGATAATGAGGAGGAGGAGGAGGAGGAGGAGGAGGATCGAGGTTTCAGGGCGCGCCGCGCCTGCGCCGCCGCGAGCCTCGCAGGAGTCGCGCCTGCGCCCAGACCCCCCAGCCGCCGAGCACGGCGCGGGCGAGGACCCGCGGCCGCCTCCGCCGGGGGCCTTCGCCGCCGCCGCGGAGCGTCATCGTAGCGGCTACGTACGCGTAAGAGTGACCTTTCTTTAGCCTCGCCCGTCGCTCTTTTCTTGCGTTCATCTTGCCTTTTCTGCCTCGGCCTCTTGCGTGCGCACTCTGGCAGTATTGTGCCCCAGTTTTCTGTTGTTAATTCTTTACGCTTCGCGTATCCCCACCAGCCCATCTCACAACAGCAACTCGTGCGAAGCGTGCCGACAGTTGTGTTTTTCAGGCGTGTGTCCGCTTGGCCCCGCATATCTCCCCTGTTCCTCCTTCTTCCCGCCTCCTTGTACATCCTCCTTGTGGGGGCAGCGGGAGAAGGACGACGCGGAGGAGGAGGGAGAGAAAGCGGTGGGAGGCAAGAGGGACTCAGCGGAGAGGACGACCTCAGCGATGATCTGAACAACGACGATGCACCCGACGACGACGACGATGTCGACCGCAACGACGACGACGACCACAACCGCGACGACGACGACGACGACGACGACGTCGACGACGACGACGACGAAGGCGGCGGTGCGGGCCCTCGTTGTGTGAGTCCTTCGGCCCCGTCGTCCTTGTGTGAGTCTTTCGGGACCCTATTCCTGGTGTGAGTCGTTCGGTATCCTCGTTGTGTGAGTCGTTCGGGCCCCTCCTGGTGTGAGTCGTTCGGGCTCCTCGTGGTGTGAGTCGGTCGGGCGCCTCGTCCTGGTATGAGTCGTTCGGGCCCCTCCTTGTGGTGTGAGTCGTTCGGGCTCTTCGTGGTGTGAGTCGTTCGGGCCCCTCGTCCTGGTGTGAGTCGTTCGGGCTCCTCGTGGGGCCTCTTGGGAGCCTCTTGGGGGCCTCTTGGGGCCTCTTGGGCGCCTCTTGGGAGCCTCTTGGGGGCCTCTTGGGAGCCTCTTGGGGGCTCTGGGGGCCTCGTGGGAGCCTCTTGGGGGCCTGTTGGGAGCCTCTGGGGGCCTCTTGGGGGCCTCTTGGGAGTCTCTTGGAGGCCTCTTGGGAGCCTCCTGGGGGCATCTTGGGGCCTCTTGGGGGCTTCTTGCGACCTCCTCAGAAGCGCAAATGAGCGCTACCCCCTGAGAAAGACAAAATGAGCCCAAAACCTTTGTAAAATCAATGATTTTGAGAACAAGGAAGAGGAGCGCTGCCCCCCCAGAAGGCCAAAATGGGGCCAAAACCGTCGTAAAATCAATGATGTTGGCTTCACAGAAGGGGAGAGGGTTTTTTTCTGGATCCCCCCGTCGGGGCCAGAATCCTCGTGAGGGTCGTCGTTTTTTGGCCCTCCCAGGAGTCGAAAAAGACCCCCTCTGAGAACACTCGGGACTCCCTCTCCAGGCCCAGGGGGAGGGGGTAGGGGGAGGGGTAAACCCCTCCCCGAAGGGGAAGAAGGGGGGTTGAGGACAGAGAGAGCTCCCTAAACCACTCACGGCCAAAGGGCTGGTGGGATTAGTCTGTGGCGCGTACCCGCTTCGACTTGACACGCCGCAGGCGCTTCCGCCCGCGGCCGCTGACCAAAAAGTAAGAGTGACCCTTCGCCAGAGTGACCTTTGGTGCGGGCACACAGGGGTCCCGCCAGCATTGGCTGGGACGCTTGGATGGCTTGGGTTCGGCCCCAACAGCGGCCCCCTGAAGCCGCGCACCATAGGTCATTCCTGCCCGGTGTCACTTTTACGTGCAGCTCATCTTAATCAATCCGGTAGGTTCATGTCGTGTCGACGCGGTGGCGACCCCAGCGCGGGCGTTCAAGGTTGAACGCCGCCAATGGTTCGAATTCGGCCGATATGAGACGAGCTGCGCCATCGGAAGCTGCGATCGCTCAGGGCTGAGCGATCCACGCGGTATGAGAAAACAGCGCCTAAGTCGTCTCGGCACGAACCTGTCTTCTTCACACACACACACACACACCGACCATGGGCCATCCTGGCCCCAGGGACCGGTGTACCTCGGGGCCAGCGGGATACCTGAAATTGCCCAGCGCTGGTTCTGGCCAGCAAGAACGGGAGAACGATTAGATGTTCCTGCGTTCGATGAGGCTTTCTACCATTTCGGCTTCGGGGGGCAGTTTCCACGACTGGCGGAAGGGCGGCAGAATCGTCGCCGCCGCCGTCGCCGTCGCCGTCGCCGTCGTCGTCGTCGTCGTCGTCGTCGTCGTCGTCGTCGTCGTCGTCGTCGTCCTTCTGGCCGCGTACTAGAGACGGCTTGTCTTCCATCCGAGAAGCCGCTGCGAGAGCGCGGCGCCGGAGTCAGGCGCGAGAGCCGCTCTTGAAGACGGCCTGGCGTGCTAGACCCTAGGAGGAGGAGGAGGAGGAGGAGGAGGAGGACGAGGACGAGGAGGAGGAAAGGAGGAGGAGGGAGGAGGAGGAGGAAAGGAGGAGGAGGAGGAGGACGAGGAGTAGGAGGAGGAAAGGAGGAGGAGGGAGGAGGAGGAGGAAAGGAGGAGGAGGACGAGGAGGAGGAGGAAGAGGAGGAGAAGGAGGAGAAGGAGGAGGAGGAGGAGAAGGAGGAGGAGGAGGAAAGGAGGAGGAGGGAGGAGGAGCAGGAAAGGAGGAGGAGGAGGAGGAAGAGGAGGAGGAGGAGGAGGAGGAGCCGGAGGAGGAGGAGGAGCCGGAGGAGGAGGAGGACGACGACGACGAGGACGAATGAGGCAAGGGAAATGGGGGGTTTCGACATAGCTTAGTTTGGCTCTCCCGCTGGGTGCTGTCCTGGTGAATTGGCGCCTCCGGCGCTGAGAGGCGCCAGAGAAACTGGCCACGCGAGATGATTCGCTGACGCCCTTCTTATTACCACCCCCTCGTGGGGCACGACCAGTGACGAGGACAAGGGCGAGGGTGGGAGGGGGTGGAAATGATCGGGGCGGGTAGCGGGGCCGAGCCTGCGGCGGCGTGTTTTTTCGGAGTAGGCTCAGGCAAGGACGAAGCGGCGCGCTAGCGGTGCGGCAGCAGGATGAGTGGGATGGCGCGGGCAGGAGGAAGGAAGGGATGGAGGAGGTGGAGGAGGACGAGGGGGAGGGGTCGTCCTCGTAATTTTTCCCTGTCGCGTCCGTCTGTGGTGACGATCCCCAACTCTTCAAGACTACGACGACGCCCCCCGTCGCCCTTGGTCCTCGTTCCGCGAGCCTCGATCCCAGATCCTTGAGCAACGACCTTCGACCTCGAACCCGATCGAGGGTCGAACCCAAGCTCCGGATTTCGGCCCTCGACCCTCGACATTCCTCCTCCTCCTCCTCTGCCCTCGCAGCGGCACGAGCTCTCTGGAGTTGGTATGAGGATGTCTCCTGGGGTCATAGGCCTCCGACGTTCGCCCTCGAGCCTAGAATTTCGAGGCTCGCCCGTCCCCGCCCCCGCCCATCGCGAGCAAGGCTCCCTGTCGGCTCACGGTGTCCTACGCGGTGGCCCTCGGGGAGGAGGCGGGCGGCCCGGCTCGGGACGCTGTCGCCCTGCCTGCAGCGGAGGATTGGGAGGAGGGAGGAAAGGGAGGAGGGAGGTGGATGGAAGGGAGGGAAGTGGGAGGAGGGAGGAGGAGGAGGAGGAGGAGGAGGAGGAGGAGGAGGAGGAGGAAACGGAGGACGAGAAGAAGAGAGTGAGGAGGAGGAGGAGGAGGAGGGGGAGGAGGAGGAGGGGGAGGAGGGAGGAGGAGGAGGAGGAGGAGGAGGAGGAGGAGAGGAGGAGAGGACAGGAGAGGAGGAGGAGGAGGAGGAGAGGACGGAGGAGGAGGTGGGTGTGAGGAAGAGGAAGAGGAGGAGGAGGAGGAGGAGGAGGAGGAGGATGGCGGAGGGCTGATCGGCGGGGGCGGAGGAGGAGGCGGGGCAGGAGGATGTGGAGGAGGAGGAGAGATTGGAGGGGGAGGCAAGGAGGAGGAGGAGGAGGAGGAGGAGGAGGGAGGAGGAGGAGGGGAGGAGGATGAGGAGGAAGGTGGAGGAGGATGGAGGAGGAGGATAGTTAGGAGGAGTAGAGGGGGCGAGGAGGAGAGGAGGAAGAGGAAGTGGAGTAGGGATGGAGGAGAAGAGGAGGAGGAGTAGGAGGAGGATGGAGGAGGAGAAGGAGGAGTGAGGCGGTGGAGAAGGAGGATAAGGAGGAGGAGGAGTTGGTAGGAGGAGGAGGAGGAGGAGGTGGAGGAAGAGGAGGGGGAGGAGGAGAAGGATGATGATGATGAGGAGGAGGAGGAGAAGGAGGAGGAGGAAGAGGAGGAACAGGAGGAAGAGGAGGAGCAGGAGAGGGGAGGAGGAACGGGAGGAGGAAGAGGAGGACGAGGAGGCAGGAGCGAAAGGATGAGGGATGGGGGGGATGTGGGAGGGGATGGCGAAGGAGGGGAGGGGAGGAAGGAGATGACGAGGGCGAGGACGAGGAGGAGGGAGAGGAGGAGGAGGAGGAGGAGGAGGAGGAGGAGGAGCAGGAGGAGGGGGAGGAAGAGGAGGAGGAGGGGGAGGAGAAGGAGTAGGAGTACGTAGGAATAGGAGTCAAGCTAGCCAGCTCGAGCGAGTCAAGCATGGCATGCCCAGTCCCACCCGCCCTCCCACAACATAAGAAGCAAAGCTGGCACAACTGGGGGCCGAAGTCACACCGGCCAGCCGGTTTGGTACAGCTGATGCGGCCGCGATGGCGGTTGCCGACGGGAACTGGCGAGCGCGTGTTGAATGCCGCGCACGCATTGCCAGACGAGTCGAGAATGGCACGCATGACAGAGCATCGCGAGTGCACCGCGCGGTGACGTGAAATCGCTGGATTTGACAGCATTCTTAAGATTCCTTATTGTTTTCCTATGATTTCAACAAGTCAGCCCAGGCAGGACATTTGTAGTTTTTTTTTTTTTGCAAAAAGCGTATGGTTTTGATGTTTTTATGTCGGAATGCTTGCAAACACAGAGAGGCCTCACGAGAAGGCCCCAGGAGGCCCCAAGGGACCCCATGCGCCCATACGATTCATGGGATTGCATTAGGAGGCGTCCAGAAGGCCCCAACTTGTATTGTTTTTTTTATAACGGGGGGGTTTGGATGGGCGGGCGCGGGGTGCGCGCCGCATCCCATTCCTGCCAAGCATTTTGCGACGTGGACGACAGGACGTCCATGCTGAGAGGAAAAACGTTGGTGCGCGGCGCCGAGGCGAGAGCGACATGTCACCCCTTCGCGCGGGGTGCGCGCCGCGCCCCATTCCTGCCACGCATTTTGCGACGTGACGACAGCACGACCATGTTGACAAGAAAAACAAAAATTGTGTATTGTCTTTTGCAGATTAGAATGGGACGGATTGGATGGGCGGGCGCGGGGTGTGCGCCGCGTCCCATTCCTGCCATGCATTTTGCGACGTGGACGACAGGACGTCCACGCGACGGTGCCAATGACGGCGACGACTCTAGAAGGATTTGAGCATGCGCTCGCGGCGACGCGCGCGCATGTCGCCCGCGGGGTATTTTTTGCACAGGATTCGCGGCCTGGGTGCATGACAGAGCATCGCGAGTGCACCGCGCGATGACGTGAAAT